TAGGAATTATGCAAGCAAAATTGCACTACCTGAGGAAAAAACCTGTATCACGGTTTGCATGATCCAGAGCAGTGATTCATGTGTTCAAAGCATAATTATCTAGCACACCAAGAGGGAAATTGTATTTATTTTTTGTTTGCTTGATTGAGTTCATTCATTAGCCAGATTTTCCCCAAACACAAAATACTTTCTGAGAATAAATTAAAAGTGATAGTACCTGGCCTAAATTAATTTTAATTTAATGACAAGGAATTATGTATTGTGGATCTCTGTCTTAGTTGCTTTTTTCTCATTGCTGAGGCTAAATACTCAAAGCCCCAAATTAAGTAAGGAAAGATTTATTTATCTCACGGTTTGTGGAGGCATCAGTCTGTAATCAGCTGGTTCCAAGGCAGAGTGACAAGGCGTGGAGCAATAGTTCAAGGCAGGGGAAGACAGCAAATGCAGGATGCGTGAACGAGGAGGGGATCAAACCGCTTTTCTTTTTCTTTTTTTAATTTTGAGAAACAAATATCAATGAGACAGTTTCAAAACTGATTAATAGGACAGTTCCAATAATTAATACACTGTACATTGTTATCTTCTTAGTGGTTATCCATAGTACAAGATGCAGACAGAATATCCTGTCCAAACACTTTAGTACAAATCTTTCTTCTCATTGAATTAAGTGAAAGTAGCTGTATATCTATCCTAACTATTCTGCATATACAGATACAAAATGGTCCTTCCTTGGTATCACCTTTTTTGTTTAGTCCTCTCAGAAATGGGTATTCCGTTGGCATCTAAATACTATAGGTGCATGAATTCAGCAAAACAATCCAACACAGTCTAGCAGTCCACAATGGTAGTGAGTTATCCACAGAAGCTGTTGACTTGATCCAAGCAATGGCCATGACTCACCCACATGGCTGACACTGACAAAGGATCTGCAAGCTGTGGTACAGGGTTTCTGGCCAGTCAGGGGACTTGACTGACCTTATCAGATACAAAAGTCACATTTCTTGTTATACAGTTCTTGCTTTATCTTGGTCTTAACCATCCAGCAGAAAGGTATAAAAAAGACGAATATAAAGTAAAGCCATATTAATATGCTGAGCTGCGAAAGGCTCAAGTCAACACCTTCTGTGGGTCGAACCGCCTTTCCTCCCTTACACCCTACACAGGCTCTCCAGCCTCTGGCGGCTGCAGCACTAACACCATCTCCCTGCCCCTCTCTTGCACAGGTCCTGGGTGTTTACAAAGGCAGGACCCTGGCCCCTACTGAGCAGCTTAGTTAAGCTTTAACACTTCTCAAGTTGACACAATTTGTCAGCCATTACAATCTCCTTGTGAGTGCTTCTTAGAAAAAATGTGTATCAGTGATACTATGTGTCAACTTTTAATTTACCTAAGAAAACTTTAAAGATTAGCTACCTTTGACTGTCAAGAGAGAACACAGGCACGTAGCAAAGCTGTCTACCGCAAACAAAGAAACAGCATTCTTGCTCAGGACACGATGTGCATTTCTAAGAAGACAATTCAGACACACATTTAGTTGCAGAAGAAGTTCAGTATTCTCTGTGCACTTTGTTTTCCTTGAAGGCAGTATCTGTTCTTTGTGGGCAATTAGAAAGTAGTGATAAGACAATGAAAATCACC